TCCAGAAAATGGAACAATTTGAAGCAACCATCAACCATCGAATTGATCAAATTAAACATGCAGCCAATATTTTGTAGTAGTTATTATAAATATACGTACTCCCATACATATATGTTTAGTTGTCTTTGTGAAATGTCTAGAGAACAAGTGGTTAAGGAGCTTCATCGACCGGCTCGTAAAAACTTCAAACGTAGAAGATTTATACAATATGGCCTCGACGATACTTTTGCCACTGATCTGGCACAACTTGATCAATATGCCGGAGAAAACAATGGATTCAAATACATATTGGTTGCAATCGACTGTTTTTCCAAGTACCTTTGGACGCGTGCCATTAAATCGAAATCTGCACCAGATGTTGCCAACGCTATGGCAGAGATACTCAAAACATCTGGAAGAATTCCAAAGAAAATTATCTCTGATAATGGAAAGGAGTATTACAATGCTCAATTTGCAAGTCTAATGAAGAAATATGGAATACATCATTATAGTTCGTTTAGTCCTTTGAAAGCATCGATCGCCGAGAGAGTGATTCGAACCATTAAAGAAAAGCTGTTCAAGCAATTTACATTGAATGGGAACCATAAATGGCTGGATTTATTACGGCCTATAACTGATGTCTATAATGATAGCAAACATGGCACGATACATATGAAGCCGAGTAACGTGAATAAAAACAATGAAAAGGCGATACTTGATAGTGTTTATAGTCATATCAAAGTTGCCGGTAAGCAAAAGTTCAAGGTTGGTGACATTGTTCGTATAAGCAAGTATAAACATGTTTTCCAAAAAGGCTATACCCCAAACTGGACTACAGAGCTCTTTAAAATAGCTAAAGTTCATATCACGAATCCAACGACGTATCTGTTGGAAGACTTGCAAGGTCAGCCGATAAGCGGTGGATTTTACGAAGAAGAGCTCCAGAAAACAAAACAGCCAGACGTATTTCTCGTGGAGCAAGTGCTACGAAAAAAGGGAAACAAAATGCTTGTAAAGTGGTTAGGCTTTGATAAATCACACAACAGCTGGATTGACATGAATAAAGATGCCATTTAATACTCGCATGTGATTGGTCTAAGACATGTTCGACGGAGTGGTGGTGGTGGGGGGCCGTAACAGTTATTATAAACCTCAAAGTACCACATTTGTGTCTCAGTATTTGAACGTAGTCACGGTGTCATCGTGAAATGTCCTGTGCATCGAATCACACAATGTACGCAGATATCAGTGCCGAAGACAGCGATGATTCGCAGTGTTCGTCAAATTATTGGGAATATTTGGACAGTATGATTTTGAAAAGTCGAATGGAAATTGCTCAAGAGAAACGTTTACTCAACGAAGTTAGCTACCAGGTGAACAATTTCAAGTTGATTGTGGGCCTAAGCGTCGCTCGAGGAATGCTGCCAGCAGTCAAAATAGTAAACTCCATGCTAAACTTGCCCGAAGATCAAACTTGCATAACTCTAGCCGATTTCGACTGGTATGAATTCCTGGAAAAGGTGTCCAAGATGGTGAATGCAACTGCTGCTGCTGGCGTCAAAGACTCTGCTGTGCCTAGCCAACAACAGGCGTTATCCGAGAATTTCACTCTGTATGTCGAATCGTTTTTCGGTGAACAAGCTCTAACTCTTACGTCGAATAATTGTGCATTGTGTTTTTGTTTAGACGACATCAAACAAATTTTAACTGTTTGTCCTCTCATAAATTATAGATTAGAATTAGTCAAGGATTTGAATTTCATTGTATACTATGACGATTGCCTACAATATTTGAATGTAACTCACAATGTCAAAAACGGCAGCCATCTTTTGCAATCAATTATCAGCATGTGCAACTTGAACAAATGTGAACGTAGCTGCTACTTTCTAGAACTTGCTACTATGAACCTAGGCAAAATTGTCAGGGATTTAGATAAGCTGGACGCGTGTTGTACCACCCTCCAATCCAATTAGTATAAGTATTAATAAATGACTATAAAAAACAGGCTTGCTTTTTATTTTTCACATTACAATAGCAACCTTTGAAGAGTCAAAATGTCTGGTTGTAGTATTACTGGTCGTCGTGGTGATGCCTGCTGCCATCATCAATCTTCCTGTATAAGACAAGCTGTCTATTTGCTACGTACTAGTTTAGAAACAGACATGTACTTTTTACTTCAAGCACTTGAGCAAGAACCCGGCACTAATGGTTGGTTTTCCACGCAAGATGTGGAAAAATATGAAAATGGTGTCAAGTCTTGTAATCTTTATCTGGCTAATTCCATCTCCTTGGAGGACCTATGTGTGCTTATGAATCAGTATGGACTACATCAGCAATTAAAACAGTATGGCGCTAAATACATGTGTGATGATATTATTGCAAAATATATAGGTTACGATGAAGTTGACTAATTTGTATGATGTTTCTATTAAAATAAAAGTTTTCTTGGTGAAAAAAATCGTTTGCATTATATTAACCATTGCGCCAATTTATTAAGGATGTGGAAATGAATCTTATCATTCAATTACTAACCATGATGGTGTCAAGTCAATCGTACGTTCTCTTGGTTGCCCTTGTGCAAAATAGTTTCTATGTACACAGACCGTACAATGTCAACAAAATGTCAATAATGCTGGACTTTTCCGCACCTAATAATACAACATCGTGGACAGAAATGCATTATGAAGTGATAGATAAGGGCCATTTAGCTGTTTTCACGACTCGTATACCGTCGTCGACGTCATTGGCGTACCTGCGTTACAAGGTGAGGCTGCATTTTCATGATGAAACTGTTGGAGATACTGAATGGAGAACTCTCATCAGCGAACCACAACAGCAAGAAGAAACATACAATAATTCCCATAAGACTCTATCAGACAACGACATCGCACCGAAATCCACTTTAAATGTAGTCATATTTATTGCCATTTGCTGCGTAATATTATTATTGAATTTAACGTACCATATTGGAAAAAGTCAATGTACCCTATGGTTTAATAAATAAATAGGTTTTAATTTAAAAAACAAGTGTGACTCATTTAATTCATTAAATTTCCCATAGTTAATCTGCAGTGAAAATATCCTTTTTTTCATCAACAAAATATTAGATGCAAGTCCCAGCTTGTTATTTGCGCTAGAACGTAAATGCTTATCAGTAAAATAAACTGTGAAATATGATACCTTTGTTTATAACGCTCCGACATTAAGCGTCGTCGACTCGATGGTCTGTAACCTTGAGTTTCACGAATTTTCTTTATTTACCACTACGGCATCCTGTAATAGGACACGTCGCACAACGTACGCTAGATGGCGCCACCGACACACAAACTGATGTGACCATATAAGTAAAAAATTATATAACGCGTGTTTACGAAATGATAGGCGTTTGATGCAAAAATGGACGTGACCCAGGTCGCTATGACGTCATCACAGAACCATAATTTAATATACGTAGCGATTTCGAAACGACTCGGAACAATCCCTTCCACGCAAACTCCATATTACAGAAACCTGTAATTCCCCGAACCATAATTAACTATACGTAGCGATTTCGAAACGACTCGGAACAATCCCTTCCACGCACACTCCATATTACAGGAACCTGTAATTCCCCGAACCATAATTAACTATACGTAGCGATTTCGAAACGACTCAGAACAATCCCTTCCACGCAAACTCCATATTACAGAAACCTGTAATTCCCCGAACCATAATTAAATATACGTAGCGATTTCGAAACGACTCGGAACAATCCCTTCCACGCAAACTCCATATTACAGGAACCTGTAATTACAAGAATTCACCGCACTCACCCGGTATGACGTCATCATATGTGACAGATGACGTTTGACAGATGACGTTTGACAGGTGACGTTTGACCGGTGACGTTTGACAGGTGACGGTTGACATGATGGCGGGAAAACATTTCCCCCCACCCCTTTTTCTGGTACCCATAATAAAATCCGGGGCCCCCTTTTTGGGGGGGCGCAGCCCTACGGGTCCCAACTACAGCATCCTGTATTACGAACTTCACACTATGTACGCTAGATGGCGCCATGACGTTTGACAAGATGGCGCCGACGATGCATCCACCTTCGTGTCAACGGCGGCGCATCCACCACGTGTCAAGAATGAAAGATTGAGGTTATGGTCGGATTTTGATGCTAGGACCCGCTTTGACTATCTACTATGCCACTTCATTGTTGTCACTTTTTCTCCTTTAGAAGATGGTGTTACTAAATTTATAATTCGACGTTTCGTTCCTTTTTTAAAATACGGACCTGGATTTTTTATTTGCAATTTTGTTATCTTTGGGCATCCTAAAACCAATACTGATTATAATTTTTCGATAACACAGTAAAAAAAGCAGGTCCGTGTTTAAAGAAAATAAATTGATGATGATTCCAGAGGTACGAAACGTTGGATTTTGAATTTAATACCGCCATCTAGTAGAGAAGAAAAAGTGACAATGGGAATGTAAAATTAGTTTTTCACAATCTTTTCAAATAAAATCAGGAAAAATTAAAACTATACGAAAAAAACATGAATTTTTGGTTTTTTTTAAATTTGAAGAGTCAGCCCTGGCTCGATGCCCCCCTCCCCTGGATGCGTCGCTGTCCTAGCCTGAATCTACAGGATTTTTTATAGGGAAAATTTTTAAAAAACACGAAAATACAAGAGCCGAGAATAGACAAAAATTGCATAGATGAAAAAACTGAGAAATAACTAAATAAATTTAGAAAAATTTCAATTTCTCCAATCACTAAAGCAAGAGTAGAAATTAGTGTGTACCTACGTGTGCAACCCAAATTGAGTGGGAATTTTGAAAATAATGAATGAAATTCAAAAGCAATTTATACTCTTTTATCAGGGTTGCCAACAAAAAATATTTTATATAAAAAGACAAAATAAATACTTCTATATTATGATGCTTCATTAAATTCCAAATTTGATAAAGGAGGATATTTTTTAAAAACGCATAAAAATTTGCTCAGTTCAAATCATTAACTTGGCAAATCAAAATGAAATTATTATTTGTAATACTTTTTTTGAATTTTTGTGCGAATTTTATCAATTGCTGGCTGGCTAAAGTGCCATATGATCCAGAGGAATTTGCCAGATACAATATATCAACAGGTAAAAGAGAACATTCAATAAAAATGAAATTTCAACTATAAAAATTTCAGAAGATGTACAATGCTTTTCCAAATCCCATGGCCTTAACAGCATGAGCATTGGAGAAGTAAAACCTTTGGAAAAAACTTGTGGAAAGGCAAAATGTTCCAGTGACCGGACAATTCATTTAACTGGGTAAGAACTTTCGCAATATGAACAATTTTAAATTAATAAATATTTTCCAGGTGTGGTAAAGCGAAAGTTGCTCCACCGTGTCATGTGGGACCTGGAGATTTGTCCAAACCGTATCCAGAATGTTGCTTTGAGATAATTTGTCCATAATAATAATAGTTTGTTTTAAATATTGTTAATATGTTATAGTAATCCTGATAACGAATAAATTGTTCCATGACTCATTGGGTACTCCCAAAACTACGAAAATTGTCCCAAAATAGTTCCAAAAAAATTCAATTGTAAGTACATATACAATTGCCTTGAATACTTGAGATTATTCTCTGTCCAAATGAAAATTATCAAATCAATAATAATTAATATGGTTCACTTACAAGATAAATAACATTATTTCTTAATGAGCACAACTTTGATAAGTTTTGGGTATACTAAATATAAAATATTATCCAGTAGGTAGTGTGTTGCTTATTAGCCCAAAATGAAATTAATATTTTCACTGTTAATTTTAAATATTTTTGTGATTTCAATGAATTGTTGGGTGGGTTATAGTTTGTACAACCAGGAAGAATTCATTCAAAATAATATAACAGGTAAGCAATTAAGATATTAAGGCTTGGTTTATCAATCTTCAGATACAAGATACTAATGGTTAGCGGAATAATGACCGACCAATGGGGATTATTTATTGCAAAAATATATCGTTTTTAGATGATGTACATTGTTTCACTACTTCATCTGGCCTGAACTCTATGAGTAATGGAGAAATTAAACCATTTAAAAATGATTGCGGATATGGAACTTGTAATGAAGATCGTAGCATTTCTTTCACTGGGTAAGTACGTGTCAAACAAGATGAGTACCTATATGATGAAAGAAATATTTATTTTTTTAGATGTAGTGTAGCAGCTATTGCACCACCATGTTACATTGGACCTGGAGATTTATCGAAACCATTTCCAGATTGCTGTTATGAGATTATTTGTCCTCAAGACATATCCGAAAACAAATTATAATTGTTGTTATTGTTTTTCTTTTTAGTGATTAACTTTGTACAACAAATTCAAAACAAATAAAAATAAACTTAATGGTGCTTGATTCGCAGAAGAGGCATTCTACGAACAATTTTTAATTATTGGCTCTTGATTGGTTCTAGAATTTTTCTGTAGGCATTCAAGTTCTAGTAATAGTCAGAATATCGATTATTGTCGGTACTTGATTCGGTGTCACAGTGTATTGCCAGATCATATTTTGTTTTGTCAGTAGATTACCAGTCTAAATATCAGTAGAAATCAGTAAACAAATAAGTTGCCTTGTTAAAGGAGTAAACCATTAAGGTATACTCAATTAATTATTTTAACTACGTTTTTTCAAATCATTAAATCATTAGACTGTGTATTACACTATGAAAACTTGCATTAGAAAATCAAACACCAATACTTCTTATGAGAAATAGTTTATTAAGATTAAGACACATGAGATATTCCTAATAAATATGCACTACCTATGGGATGCCCTACATTTGGTTCTATATTCTTGAAGAGTACAATTTCCCGATTCCAAAACTATATACTGTGTCTATATTTGGTTGAGCCGGCTCCAACATATTTGGTTCTAAAAATTTTAAAAATACTATCAGAGAAACCAAGTACTCACCTCAAATTTTACTTGCAGCTTTCACCTGTACAGGTAGAATGGTTCACAAAATAAGTAGTATTATAGGATAGTATTTTTAAAATTTTTGGAGCCAAATAGGTATATGAGAAACTGTTCAATCAAATATAGACAAACTATATATTTTTCGAATCGGGGCATTGTGCTCTTCAAGAATATAAAATGAAACATACCAAACCATTTAAAAAAAAGCTGGAAGCATGCAAAATTTCACATTTTTGACATTCAAATTTTATTTCTGACCATGGTTTTTAAAAATTCAGCCAAAAGTGTACGACTTTTGACTTTTGTATATACACCTTTTTTCTACCTGTAAAGGTAAAGGCAGGGCCGCAACTAGAACCCTCGGCGCCTAAGTCAAGTCCAAATTTTGGCGCCCTTCCACCCTCCACATGTAAACAAAAACAAAACAAACTGCACTGGGTCTCCACGAGCCTTCCTAGCTCGTGCCAAAAAATGCGCACTAGGTGCATACATAATTTCACTGGATTTCAAATGGAAAATAAAAATTGATAATGTGCAGTCAAATGGAATGTAAAAATTGCACTGAGTGCACCTCCGTGCAACAAATGGAAAACGCCATTATTTTATCGCGACCAGTTTTGGAACGAGTTCTCCAGACTGTCTAATAGGTAAACGAACTTTATGTGTCAATCCTGAAGTTCTTGCTAAAATCCAAAGACCGCTAGATCTGGTTCAGAAATGGTTCCGAACCGATTCTGGTTGATCCGCGAATCCAGAACCGTAACTAAAAGTTCGGAACTTTGTGATCCGCGAACGCCATTTCTTGAACTGCGCATGCGAAATAGTTTCGAACAGTTCAGAATCCTTACCGCGAACGAAGCCATTGTAAAAGTAAAAGCTGTTTACGGAAACTATAATCGGGTTAAAAAAACGCTAACCTAGATTTCTACCTCCAAAAATAACAAGACTATAATCTAAGAGTTCAAAGAGCCCGCCAAATATTATTTAAGTTAGGGTGGGTATTATAAAACTGCTTTGACAGTAAACTTGAAGTTAACTTTTTGAATTACATGTAATTCCAGAAGTTAACTTTAAGTTAACTGTCAAAGTAGTTTTATAATACCCGCTCTTAGTCTTGTAGTGGATAGTGGCGCTAGTATCGATATGACGTCATCGCAATGCCAGTGTCGCACCACAGAATCGATAACTCTCACCTTGGTTTATTATATTTCTCTATGTTAGGAAATGTATAGTACATTGTATCATTAGAACCCCCCTTTGAAATTTTGCGGGTAGAGAGTGAACATACCAATAAAATGTGCGATTATTACCAATATTGAGCAATACTGGCATTGCAATGAATAAGTAGACTTATCATATCAGCAAAAAACTTGGTGCAACGACCCAAGTTTGAGGAATCAATAATTTCTTGCTGACAATAGAAAATCGACTTGGATCAATGGTTCGATTTTCCTAGTCAGTTGGGTCTTAAAGCTGAAGCAGATAACAAAGCTTGAGCCAGGTTATCTGGCGCGAAAAAAGTTAAAGTTATAACGTTACAGAAAGATGGATTTCCATTGGTAAGTCATTTGTCTTTGTCAATTTGTAAACTCATCATTTTAAATCAATAAAATTATTCATGATACTTTCCCTTATTTTATTATTATTTATTTTATTTTGTGAGTAATAAATAGGCATTGTTATTTTACGCATTTGGTTTTCATCTTGGACTAGACCCAAAGTCCCCAGTTACGACAAAACAGGTTGTGACATTGTGGTGGAGACGCCGTTATAGTGGTAGTGCTTCCAAACATCGAAGCAGAAGTAGTTGTAGTAGTAGTGCCAAACATTGGAGTTGCTGGGGTGTTTCCAAAAACTGAAGTGGTACTGCCAAAAGTTGGAGGGGCAGGAGAACTAGTGGCACCAAAAACTGAAGCGGTGGTAGCTGGAGTGCCAAAAACTGAAGAAGTTGTATTGCCAAACGTTGGCGGGGAAGTTGTCGTTGTGGTACCACTGCCGAAAACTGGAGCTGAAGCTACCGGTGCGGTACCAAAAACAGAGGTGGTATTGCCAAATGTTGCCGCACTAAATATAATAGGTAATAATTATAGAGGAAAAAGATTGTTGTCTCTAATGAGCTCTGAGTTTAAGAAAAATATTTCAGTCAATGTTTCTGAGCCTGAAAAACCAGCGACAGTTACAAAAGAGCAAACAGAAGTCCCTCACTTCAATTTTATCATCTCCAAAATCGAGTACACATAAACCTACTGAAAAACATGTACACTTTAATGAAACCACAGCAGCAGCACCATCGATCAATCAGCCCTCTTTGACACAAACCTCAGCTCATATAGTATCAGAATCTGTTAGTAAAGCTTCTATTATCCAGACAACACCTGTTGTTTCAACCACCCCAACCTTTTCATTTGGTAATCCAACTTCTACAGATAAAACTGACACAAGTAAGCCTTCGTTAGGTTTAGGTAAACTATTGGAAACTAGCCCTCAAAAACTTGGATGCTTCAAATTTGACCCAAGTAGCACTCCCATGTTGGGCCAATATTGGGACAATAACTACGATTTATTGGCCCAAGTCAGATTCTCTATGTTGGCCCAATAAAAGATGTGGACATTCTGCTATATTTGTCCAAGAACGTATGTCAATATGTACCCAAAAACAAATACCAACGTTGGTACAATAACGTAACCAAATGTTGGCCCAAAAAGAAATAATCAATATCATATCAAGAACTTTATGCAATATAGAGCCAATTGAAATTACCAATATTGGCCCGAAGACGTATGTAAATCTTGGCTTTTTATTATATTCAATTGAGGTAACGGACCAATTATAAGGACCGGCTAAGAAGTGTTCTCTCTGCCGGACCATCCGTGGACCCGTTTCGCTGTATCACAAGTCATCAGCATGGTTAAGTCCCGCCAGGGTCCCGCAGAGAGAAAACAACCAATTTTTGGCTTCATCCCGGAACCAGGTTTAAGACAGGTAAAGTGAAGACAGAGTCTCCATCTATTTTTTGGTCAGCACACCAAGGGCGCACATTGAATACCCTATATTGGACCAACAGTTTCAATTCAGAAAATCTAACCTTGGTAAAAATTAGTATGTAAATATTGGCCCTTCATTGGGCTTTTCAAAAAGTATCAATATTGTGAAAAAATTGGAAATAAATATTGGATGTACAAAGTTTTTGAAGTGAATTTAAATATCAATAAAAAATTGAATGCCAATATTGAATTAATATTATATTACAATATTGTTTCGATAATATAAAATGTAATATTTGGCCAATATTTCATAAATCAATATTGTAGTGAGAAGTCTTGGGCCAATATCCAATTTACTGAAGAGTTAATTAATCTATGAAAACAATATTGGTACAAGATTATTTTTAAATATTGTTTCCACATAGTTAAAACTAACGTTGCCCCAATATTGGTACTGTATTGATTTAGCAACAAAAATGAATAAATATTGACCCAACTGAAAAACGATGTTTACCCCATATTATGTGCTACTTGGGGACCTTAACGTACCTGCCAGTACCACATCTCCTGCTACAAAAACTACTTTACCCTCTATAAGTTTTCCTGCTGCCACATCTGCAAATACATTGAATTTTAATAAGCCCTCAGCAAGTTCTGTAATAGTTTTTGGATCAAGTTCCAACACAACAACAGCTGCTTCAACCACATCGAAAACGGATCCCACCTTTTCTTTTGAAAATTCATTGGCTAAATCTCCAGCGATTAATTTTGGTTCCAATGCTGCACTTAAAAAGACTCCTAGTTTCAACATAACAACCACTCCAAGCACAGTGCCATTTTTTGGTATCGCTAGCACAACTACTACTAGCACTACACCGATGATAAATTTTGGTGCGCCAGCAGCAACAACGACGACACCTTCGATAAATTTTGGTGGACAGAGTACCGCATCAAATAAACCCAATACCTCCTCGCCCTCTATGTTTGGCTCCAATACTAGTACTGCCACTGTCACGCCTACATTTCACACAGAAAGCTCTAAGCAAATTAGTAGGGAAGGAGAACAAGGTAACCCCTTATGTGGATACCGGAACACGCTGGCCTTGAGGGCAACGAAATGGCGGATCTCCTTGCCAGAGAGGGAGCCGAAACCAAGTTTACAGGACCGTTTTCATCGAAACTCGACTTCATAAACAGTTCAGACTTACCGCGAACGAAGCTATTATAGAAGTAAAAGCTGTTTACGGAAACTATGATCGGTTAACCCGATCGCCAGCAGACGTAGGTATTTTGTCTTTTTTCAATTGTATTCTTTAAGGAAAGATAGAAAACATTCAGCTGCTGATCGGGTCAACCCGATTATAGTTTCCGTAAACGGCTAAAGAGAAAAGAGTCAAAAGAGATAATGCATGCAACATGCAGAGGGCGCCCACGTCGCCCACAG